CGCAGGGAGCCAGTAGCTAGCCATGGGGTGTGACCTAGCAACAGTTGCCGTACGCGGTCTATAGTTACTAGAGCTAGGTGTGACCTAGCTAGGGTAAAGCCAGGTAGTTAGCCTTTTAGCCGAATGGCACTGAGTGAGGGTGGTCACAGCCAGAGTTTTTTTGCGCCCTCAGTGGTTCTTTTAGTTTTACGTCCCCATTGCCATTGACCTTAGTATTGCTGAGAGGGTCTATGTCCCCCGGGGTACTGCCGGAACGTACCCAGGGTACGTTCCGGCAGTACCCTGGGGGACATAGACCCTATGAGCCTTAGTATTACTGCCTGCATGGAGACGGGACCGCCATTTTACGTGGTCATCCGAGCCACGGGAGATTCAGTCTCCAATGTTGACAGCCAGGTTTTTACACCTTGAGAAAATTCACTGCCCCGGCCAGGGTTTGAACTCGCAGCATTTAGTGGACAGTATACGTGGCCTAACCACTGGGCCACGAAGGCGCTCAAGTACTACTGTAAGATCTTGTTGAGGGTACGGATTGAGATCTCCTGAGTCACTGTCACTGTCAGTCTTACTGTCAGTGTCACTGGCAGGGATGTGGCAGTGTGTGACATAATCCCCAAAAGCTGCGAAAACTTTATAAAGTTACTTTCACGACAAGTCATTCGACGAGTGTCAAATTATTGTAATTTCTTAGTCATTATTTGATTGGCAAAATTGCTTTCTTCACGTTTTTCAGATAGTATTAGTAGCTGCTAGTCTCGGTCCGTTACTGTTGCCAGCAGCTGTGCAAGAGATGCAAAGGCGAGCACACGCAGCAACTAAAAATAATGTCTGGAAGTTTACGTTTTGCGCGCCTGGCCCTTGGGATTTTCGGCACGGGCTCACTCGCTGCCTTCGCGGCGTGGAAGTATGACAATGAGAAGTTGACAGCTCAGGCGTCGTGGACCACAAACTTTACGCCGAGTGTAGCGTGGGATCACAACTGGGACAGGCACGTATGTCGCATGTCGCTATACGCGATCTGACGATTTGATGATTTAGAGTGTCATCAATGTGATCGCCACATAGATTACCTTCATGTCTAGGCTTCACTCCCACATGCACGTAAACCCACTTTAAGAAAGACACCTAGTAGCATTGCACTCATTATTGCGCCTGTTGTTTGTTTATTGGGTTCATCCCTGAAGGCACTCACTACCTTGTCACTATATCCAGTGAAGTGGACACTGACAAGTACGAGAACATAACATAACATAACCACTATCTATCATACTTTCGTGATAACCAATGGCCATCATTCTGATGTTTATCTGCATGCATCTATACCAACTCTGTACTCTCTTAACAGCCATTTAGGGTGCATATAAACAACCTGGCCGTAGTATTGTCAGCGGAGCCGTACAGTGTGTCACATGTTTTTTAAGCTGTGTACACAGCATGTATGTATAATGAAAACACAGCATTGTGTTTTCAACTACCTGTAATTCGTTAGAGACGTGTGCTATACTAACATTCATCAACTATGAATCTACGTACGCGAAATGTTCATTCCGTTTTACGTAGCTACGATGCATTTCTGTCATATATGATGCGAACGTGCGCGCATGCACGTAAAATTTACTTTAATCTGGAATCTTCTAGGCGAGACATCTCAAGTTCGGTGAAGCCGTCAAAGGAGGGTGACTTGTACATAGGTGGCGACACCGACGATAATCGCACGAAGTCCGTCATGAAGCCGAAGGCGACGCGGAACCTCATACTGATTCGACATGGCCAGTACAACATGAGTGGCAAGAACGACGCAGACCGAGTGCTCACGGAAATGGGTGGGTGGAGCAGATGTTTTACTTTTTAATTAGACCGGGAGGTGGATCGTAAGGCGTTGGTTAGTAAGGTGGTCTCTCTCTCTCTCTCTCTCTCTATCCCTCTGTCTCTCTCTCCTCTCTCTTCTCTCTCTCTCCCTTCCTCTCTCTCTTTCTCTTACCCTCTCTTTCAACTCTGTCGCTCTCTCTCTCAACTTCGCTCCTACTCTGCTCTCCTCTCTCGTCATCTCTCTCTCTCGCGTACTCTCTCGTCTTTTCTCTCTCTCTCTCTCTCTCTCGCTCTCGTCATCTCTCTCTCTCTACTTCTCGCTCCTCTCTCTCTCTCGTCTTCTCTCTCTCTCTCTCTCTCTCTACCCTTCTCTCTCTTCTCACTCTCTCTATCTCGTCCCCCCCCCCATCTCTCTTCTTCCCACTCTCTCCCCCTCTCTCTCCCCCTCTCTGCTCCGCCTCTCTCTCTCCCCCACCTCCTCTCTCATCTCTCTCTCTCTCTCCTCTCTCCTCCCGCAGGCTGTCAGCCAGGCGGAGAAACGCGGACCAGCGACCTGAAGGAGCCCTCAACTTCCCCTGGACGATCCTCTATCACTCGACGATGAAGCGGGCGACGCAGACAGCAGACATCGTCCGCAAGCACCTGCCGGACGTGCCGACGGACACGTGTCGATAGTGCGTGTCGCCGAGCCCACACCGCGCCCCCATCCCTCGGACGCCGCCCTGTGTGTCGCCGGCGCATTGAACTGTGCACCGTGGAAAAGAAACCGTGAAGGCCATCGTCACGCGCAGGTACAGGGCAAACCAAAGAGAAAAGCAAGAACGCCAGTCAGGGCGAAAACAGCGCGGGGAGTTAATCGGCGATAACGGCAATGATTGCGAAAGGCCCGTTCTAAAACCGAAAGGGCTCGACAGTGGCAAGGCCAAGAAATCAACCAAATTACCGCAAGGTGA